TTGTGGGTCTAGTTCTGGGGTTTCTATTCTATTCCATTGGTCTATGTGTCTGTTTTTGTGCCATGGAAAAGCTTTTAACGAGAGAATCTGTTCTCAGAGGTGGACCCATCTGCCCAATTATGCCTGCTATTGAATTTGACAGTTATCATTCCCTCTGATGGGCATGTAGTTTCCTACAGGGGTATATACATTATCAATTCTCAAACTACCATGCATGTATACTGAACTGAACACATCGGTAAATGGGTGGTGAACTGTAGAAGCCAGGCTTCTCACTGTTTCAGATAGAGGTTACAGATAAGAGAAGGCTAAAATGACCTATGTGATAATGGATTAGAGTTGGAGACCTCAGTATGAATCATGTGTAGCTTAACATACATACAGATGGTTACATATAGAAATACTTATAGACACGTGTGTATATTAACATGGGCTAGTATGCGGACATACACCTCTGCTCTGTGACCTGAGAGGGCCTAGAAGCAGTAACACCCCAGTAGCAATAAGCACACCTAGCACCCAGATCGTGGTTTCTAAATACCATTCTCCAGTTAAAGAAAAACAGATCTCCTTGGAGAAATGGCAGGTTCTAGGATTGGAACAAGAAATATAGGAGTCTGAAGCATCTTATAGTTCCAGGAAGTATTTTTTAAAATATTGATATTGATGGATATATGTCAATGAGGCACAGGACCAGCTGAAACAGCTCCCAACAGCTAAAGCTGGAACAATTTAATCAATAAAGTAGTATTAGATTATAATACAAAGTATAAAATATCCATTTGTCCATGTTGATATAAACACATAAACAAATACATAAAAGGGATAAAACAGAAGAATTCAAATTAATTTATGTAGGTATTTCTAGCTCAAGGAGATGAAGCATAACTCTCCACTCCATAAGTGTTGACTTCCTTCCAAGGATTACAATATGAGAAGGTAGGTAGGAGGAGAGAGTAACTCTACAGTGGAGAAATCTAAGAAGTACTACATCAGATCAAGATTAACATCAACAGTGATGGGTCATGCTGACAGTATATACCCTTGATATCGTGGGATGAGACAAGCACCATACATGTGTGGTCTTCCTCTCAAATACCTATAACCCGAGCATAATCATGAGAAAAACATGAGACAAATTCCAATTGATGGGCATCCTACAAAATATGTGACCAGTACTCAAAACCAAGGTCATCAAAAACAAAACAAAATCTGAGAACCCAGCACAGCCTGAAGAGCCTAAGGAGATATAATGATGGAAGGTCACTGGTACCCTGGATTGGATCCTGGAACAAAACTAGGGACTTCAGGTTAAAACAAAGGAAATCTGAATAGAGTATGGACTTAAGTTAATAATAATATATCGGGGTGCCTGGGTGGCGCAGTCGGTTAAGCGTCCGACTTCAGCCAGGTCATGATCTCACGGTCCGGGAGTTCGAGCCCCGCGTCAGGCTCTGGGCTGATGGCTCAGAGCCTGGAGCCTGTTTCCGATTCTGTGTCTCCCTCTCTCTCTGCCCCTCCCCCGTTCATGCTCTGTCTCTCTCTGTCGCAAAAATAAATAAACGTTGAAAAAAAAAATAATAATAATAATATATCAATATTGGTTCATTAATTGTGACAAATACACCACACTGATGTAAAATGTTAAAAATAGGGGAAACCGAATGTGAAGCATATGAGAAGTGTCTTTACAAGCTTTGCATTGTAAATCTGAAACTGTTCTAAAAACGTGTCTTATTTTTAAAAATCCATTTCCCATAGCAAAAGAATTAAGGGTAACCACTAAAAGAAGACATATAGGATACAGAACGTCTACCTCATTTAAGGAAAAAAAAAAAAGGTCAACACCAACAGCTAAAAATCAATCCAACAAAAGTCACCAAACAGAAAAAAGAAACCAGCTAAACAGAAAATATGAACCTTAACACAAGAATATGTACAATCCTATCAGTAAAAAAAAAAAATGAGTACAAAGAGGGTAAATCTCCTATCCAAAGATAAATGGAATATAACTATATGCTGTTGACAAAATATACACATAAAACAACACAATCCACACACACAAAATATATATAACAGAAATATACACCGGTAAATGTTAACAAGAAGAAAGCAGATGTGGCAATATTAATATGACAATAAAATTTAAGACCCCAACATCTAAATAAGAAAAGGCCAATATTTTACAAAGCATATAATCCACCAAGAAAATAAAAATTATGACACTTAGTAACCTAGCTTCTAAAATTCTGGAGTAGACTTTTGCTTCTTTCTATGATGGAGTAATTGGCATAAGATTAGCTCTCCCACTGCGAACACTACAAAATGGACAAAACATGAGCCAACAGCTTTCAGCACTGAACAGCAATCCCTGAGATCAAGGAAATTGTGACAGCTAAATCCAACAGGTGATCCTGGACCGGATCCTGAATGCATAAGGGGCATTACTGGGACACTTAGTGAAATTTGAAAGAGGTCTGTTGACCAGGTGGTAATACTGGATCACTGTCAATTTCCCCATCTTCATGGATTTACTGTGGTCAGGGAAGAAGGTATCTTTGTTTTTAGGAAATGCACACTGAAGTATTAACAGTTAATGAGCAGCCTGCTTGCCACTGATTCTGAAATGATTCTGAAAAAATATTTAGAGACACCTACACACACCAGTGCCAATGTGGTACAACTGGGAAATCTAGGTGGACAGTAAATCAGAATTCCTTGTATTAGACATTACGGTGACAACGGGTGAAACTTGCATTGGGTCTGAGGATTAGGTGGCAGTAAGGTATCAACATTAATTTCCTGACTCAGATAGTTACACTGAGAATATATAAAAGGATGTCCTTGCTTGAAGAAAATGCTCCCTCTTTATAGATTTTGGATACTAGCCCTTTGTCCTGTATGTCATTTGAAAATATCTTTTCCCATTCCGTTGGCTGCCTTTTAGTTTTGTTGATTGTTTCCTTTGCTGTGCAGAAGCTTTTTATCTTCATGAGGTCCCAATAGTTCATTTTTGCTTTTAATTCCCTTGACTTTGGGGATGTGTCAAGTAAGAAATTGCTGCGGCTGAGGTCAGAGAGGTTTTTCCCTGCTTTCTCCTCTAGGGTTTTGATGGTTTCCTGTCTCACATCCAGGTTCTTTATCCATTTCGAGTTTGTTTTTGTGAATGGTGAAAGAAAGTGGTCTAGTTTCATCCTTCTGCATGTTGCTGTCCAGTTCTCCCAGCACCATTTGTTAAAGTGACT